CGTGTGAACTATGGTTTGGCAAGAAACCTAAGCTGTCGTTTCTTAAAGTTTGGAGTTGCGATGCTTATGTGAAAAAGTTTCATCTCGATAAGCTCAAACTCAAATCGGAGAAATATGTCTTCATAGGATACCCAAAGGAGACAGTTGGGTACAACTTCTATCACAGATCCGAAGGCAAGACATTCGTTGCTAAGAATGGATCCTTTCTAGAGAAGGAGTTTCTCTCCAAAGAAGTGAGTGGGAGGAAAGTAGAAAACTTGATAAGGTAATTGTACCTCCCCCCTTATTGGAAAATAGTTCATCACAAAAATCTGTTCCTGTGACTACTACACCAATTAGTGAGGAAGCTAATGATGATGATCATGTAACTTCAGATCAAGTTACTACCGAATCTCGTAGGTAAACTAGAGTGAGATCCGCACCAGAGTGGTACGGTAATCCTATTCTGGAGGACATGTTACTTAACCATGACGAACCTACGAACTATGAGGAAGTGATGATGAGCCCAGATTCCGATAAATGGCTTGAGGCCATGAAATCTGAGATAGGATTCATGTATGAGAACAAAGTGTGGACTTTGATGGACTTGCCCGAGGATCGGCAAGCCATTGATAATAAATGGATCTTCAAGAGGAAGACGGACACGGATAGTAGTGTTACTATCTACAAAGCTAGAATTGTCGCAAAAGGTTTTCGACAAGTTCAAGGTGTTGACTACGATGAGAGTTTCTCACTCGTATCTATGCTTAAGTCTGTCCGAATCATGTTAGCAATTGCCGCATTTTATGAAATCTGGCAAATGGATAAACAAAACTGCATTCCTTAATGGATTTATTAAAGAAGAGTTGTATGTGATGCAACAAGATGGTTTTGTCAATCCTAAAGGTGCTAACAAAATATGCAAGCTCCAGCGATCCATTTATGGACTGGTGCAAGCATCTCGAAGTTGGAATATACGCTTTGATAAGTTGATCAAAGCATATAGTTTTATACAGACTTGCGGTGAAGCCTGTATTTACAAGAAAGTGAGTGGCAGCACTACAACATTTCTGATAAGTATATGTGAATGACATATTGTTGGTCGGAAATAATGTAGAATTATTCTGCAAAGCATAAAGGAGTGTTTGAAAGGAGTTTTTCAAAGAAAGACCTCGGTGAAGCTGCTTACATATTGAGTATCAAGATCTATAGAGATAGATCAAGATGCTTGATAAGTTTTTTTTCAATGAGTACATACCTTGACAAGATTTTGAAGTAGTTCAAAATGGAACAGTCAAAGAAAAAAAATCTTGCCTGTGTTACAAGGTGTGAAGTTGAGTAAGACTCAAAGCCCGACCACGGCAGAAGATAGAAAGAGAATGAAAGTCATTCCCTATGCCTCAATCATAGGTTCTATAAAGTATGCCATGTTGTGTACCAGATCTATTGTATACCATACACTGTGTTAAGAGAGGGAGTACAATAGTGATCTAGGAGTAGATCAATGGACAGCGGTCAAAATTATCCTTACTGGAATAAGGATATGTTTCTCGATTACGAAGGTGACAAAAGGTTCGTCGTAAAGGGTTACGTCGATGCAAGTTTTGACACTGATCCAGATGACTCTAAGTCTCAATCTGAATACATATTGAAAGTGGGCAATTAGCTAGAGTAGCTCCATGCAGAGCATTGTTGACATAGAAATTTGCAAAATACATGCGGATCTGAATGTGGCAGACCCGTTGACTAAACTTCTCTCGCAAGCAAAACATGATCACTTTTTTGGTCTTAATCACATAGCGATGTGAACTAGATTATTGAATCTAGTAAACCCTTTGGGTGTTAGTCACATGGAGATGTGAACCAATCACATAACGATGTGAACTATTGATGTTAAATCACATCGATGTGATCTAGATTATTGACTCTAGTGCAAGTGGGAGACTGAAGGAAATATGCCCTAGAGGCAATAATAAAGTTATTATTTATTTCCTTATATCATGATAAATGTATATTATTCATGCTAGAATTGTATTAACCGGAAACATAATACATGTGTGAATATATAGACAAACAGAGTGTCACTAGTATGCCTCTACTTGACTAGCTCGTTAATCAAAGATGGTTATGTTTCCTAACCATGGACAAAGAGTTGTTATTTGATTAACGGGATCACATCATTAGTTGAATGATCTGATTGACATGACCCATTCCATTAGCTTAGCACCCGATCGTTTAGTATGTTGCTATTGCTTTCTTCATGACTTATACATGTTCCTATGACTATGAGATTATGCAACTCCCGTTTGCCGGAGGAACACTTTGTGTGCTACCAAACGTCACAACGTAACTGGGTGATTATAAAGGAGCATTACAGGTGTCTCCAAACGTACATGTTGGGTTGGCGTATTTCGAGATTAGGATTTGTCACTCCGAATGCCGGAGAGGTATCTCTGGGCCCTCTCGGTAATGCACATCACTTAAGCCTTGCAAGCATTGCAACTAATGAGTTAGTTGCGGGATGATGTATTACGGAACGAGTAAAGAGACTTGCCGGTAACGAGATTGAACTAGGTATTGGATACCGACGATCGAATCTCAGGCAAGTAACATACCGGTGACAAAGGGAACAACGTATGTTGTTATGCGGTCTGACCGATAAAGATCTTCGTAGAATATGTAGGAGCCAATATGGGCATCCAGGTCCCGCTATTGGTTATTGACCAGAGACGTGTCTCGGTCATGTCTACATTGTTCTTGAACCGTAGGGTCCGCACGCTTAAGGTTTCGATGACAGTTATATTATGAGTTTATGAGTTTTGATGTACCGAAGGAGAGTCCCGGATGAGATCGGGGACATGACGAGGAGTCTCGAAATGGTCGAGACGTAAAGATCGATATATCTGACGACTATATTTGGACTTCGGAAAGGTTCCAAGTGATTCGGGTATTTTTCGGAGTACCGGAGAGTTACGGGAATTCGCCGGGAGAAGTATTGGGCCTTATTGGGCCATACGGGAAAGAGAGAGGGGCTGCCTAGGGCAGGCCGCACGCCCCCCCAAGGCCTAGTCCGAATTGGACTAGGGGGAGGGGCTGCGCCCCTTCTTCCTTCCCTTCTCCCTTCCCCTTCCTTGTCTCCTACTCCTAATACTTGGAAGGACTCCTAGTTGGACTAGGAAAGGGGGAATCCTACTCCCGGTGGGAGTAGGACTCCCCTAGGGTGCGCCATAGAGAGGGCCGGCCCTCCCCTCCTCCACTCCTTTATATACGGGGGCAGGGGGCACCCCATAGACACACAAGTTGATCTTCGTGATCGTTCCTTAGCCGTGTGCGGTGCCCCCCTCCACCATATTCCACCTCGGTCATATTGTAGCAGTGCTTAGGCGAAGCCCTGCGACGGTTGAACATCAAGATCGTCACCACGCCGTCGTGCTGACGGAACTCCTCCCCGAAGCTTTGCTGGATCAGAGCCCGGGGAGCATCATCGAGCTGAACGTGTGCCAAGAACTTGGAGGTACCGGAGTAACGGTGCTTGGATCGGTTGGACCGGGAAGACGTACGACTACTTACTCTACGTTGCATCAACGCTTCCGCTTCGGTCTACGAGGGTACGTAGACAACACTCTCCCATCTCGTTGCTATGCATCACCATGATCTTGCGTGTGCGTTGGAAAAATTTGAAATTACTACATTCCCCAACAGGGGCGGCAGAGGCGGGGCGGAGCTGAGGGAGTCGAGCTGTGCGCGAGAGAGGGAGGCCTCGGCGAAGCGGGAGGGTGCGGCGTCGCACGCGAGCGAGAGGGGGGTGGCGGGCGCGTGGGCCGGCGAGGTCACATCAGCGCCGGCGAGGCGGGACCTCGCACGCGGGCGAGCGGCGAGCGGGAACCGGAGTGGACGCGGTCAGGGTCATGTGCGGGCGAGGCGAGGATGGTCAGCGGGCTATGGTGGTGCGGCCCGAGACGGAGGGGAAGCAGAGGAGGGGTGGACGGGGCCTCACCGAGGCCCTGAAGTTGTGCTAAAGCCGGCTCGGGGAGACACCGGGGCTGCGGGGCGAAGGCGACTCCAATGGCGTCAGGGCGGCGCAGTGTCCTCGGGTGCGGCGTCCTGCGAAGCCCGGGCGGCGACGATGCTCGAGGGGGGTCCGTCGGTGGAGGGGTCGGCGACAAGGGCGGCGAGTTGAGGCGGTCCACGGCGACGAGGCGCCGGGCTCGGGTGTCGATGTGGACGACGACAGGGAGGGGGGTCGCTCCGGGCGGCGTCGGCGGGGGAGGGGGCGATGGGGTCAATCCCTCAATCCCTCGATCTGGATCGGGAGGGCGAGCGACGTGGGAAGAGTTGGGTGGATAGGATTAGGGTTTGGTCGCCCAGGTGGATAAGGGAGTGAGGGTCGGGGCGCGGCTGGGCCGGCCTGGTTGGCCCAGTTGGGCTGGTGGCCTGCTGGGCCGAAGCCCGGGGGTGCTTTCTTTCTTTTGTTTTTTTGTTTAGACCTTTTCTTTTTATTTATTTTATTTCTTTACTGTTTTCACTTGAAGTTTCTTTTATTTTAGTTTTATAAAATACCAAATGAGCACCTAAGTTAGTATTACTAATTAGTCCATTGCCACAATTATTTTGGCACACTACTAAATTAGTTATATTATCATAACTTTATAAAAGGCATTAAATTAATTATTTTGCCCTCTGTTTTGGTTGTTTTAGTGCATTTAAATATAATAAGAAATGTTGGTTTCTCCAACATTATTACTCATGAATTTAATTGTCACATTTAGAACATTTTAGTCTTAATGTTTGAAAACTTCTATTGTTAGTTTGATTTGGATTTTGAATCGCTTTCGAACTAGCGTGAGATTAGCAACAATAATCGAAGTAACGTGGCATCATTAACGTGGGATTACTGTAGTCTAATTATCCGGGCGTCACAAAGTTTCAACTCACCCTATTTCGGAAATTGGCTCAACAGACAATTAAACATGAAAGCCATGGCCCAGTTAGCCTAAGCAAACCAGTCCTGACACAATCTTTCACGGTTCGAAAGTAGGCACTAGAGCAGAAGGACCCCAAGTTGCCTGGTACAACGCACGTCGCACAATACTCCGGTAAGGATCGTCGTTTCTCTTCCTCTTTAGGTAAGACATTGCATTCTGCACTTCTGATTCGATTTGAAAATATACTTGGTTTGCCTTCTTCCTATCTGTCAACACATTGTCCATTCCTTTCATCTCAATTGGCTTCCCGAATAGGAAATATAGCCGCCCTGGTAATTTTGGGAAAACAACAGGCAGATGCAAGACTTGATTCCCATCCTCTCCTTTCATAGTGTCCCTGAAACCAAACATTCACAAAGAAGGTGACCAATGTTTTTATTCCTTAGATAATGGAGGTGAAGTGGGACCAAGGCTTGAGATTGGTAACTAACTTTCTAAGGAGATGCTTGATTGTTTGTTTATCAAAGGAAAAATGGGCAGAGTAATAGAAATCTAACCTTAATCTTATAAAATCTCTGTTGAATGACTTTATCTCGTCTCTAATATATGGTATGTTCTTTTGATCATTGTAGTCCACAACTATCTGTAAAAGGTACAAACAATACATAAGTAGACCCTATTGTGTGGAGATAAGAAAAGAGCCATTTTAATCGAAAATTCGAATCTGAGCCCGAGCTCATCTGCACCTGCGCTCACGAAAAAAATCAAAATAAATACTAGAAAAACTCAAAAAATTCCAAAAAAAAATAGAGTGGTAGACAATTTGATGCGTGGGGTACGCTTCAATTTTCAAAACATTTGGACTTCTGTGCAGCTCTCAGCAAAAAAGACAAATCGGAGGTCTGTAAAAATGTGTACTGTTCATATACTGTTCTGGTCTGATTTGTCTTTTTTGCTGAGAGCTGCACAGAAGTCCAAATGTTTTGAAAATTGTAGCGTACCTCACGCATCAAATTGTCTACCACCCTAATTTTTTTTGGTATTTTTTGAATTTTTCTAAAAAATTTATGATTTTTTTTGACCGGGTGCAGATGCACCCGGGCACGGAAACGCCGCTCTCCATTTTAATGCCTTAAAATATGGAATATAACTTGTACTACAATCATAGTTTCAAACAGCGGAGATAGCATCTGCTATTGCTCAAATTAAATGTCATTGCTTTTTGTTAATGATCTAGAAATATATATACAATAATCTATATTTTTACAAATTCGCTACACGGACATAGTGCCCGCAATATCGCCCGCTATCCGCATTCCGCTACGCGGACCCCAGCCCGCTATCCGCTATTTAAAACCATGACTACAATATGTAAATCTTGTTGCTTCAGATGACTCGAAGTACAAAAGCACATAAAGCTAACCTCCAAAAAGTCATCTTCTCCCACACAACCAAATGGTATGACAGTAACTCCAAACCGTGCCGCCATTCTTACAAATTCGGTTTGATCTGGCCAAAACAATTTGTATGCTTCGCCCTGCCAGGCACAACAAAATAAGCATAGCAGAATGTAGAACACACAAGCAATTTTATTAGAACAAATTGTCCTTGTTCAAGCACACCTTCCTATGTAGAGCTTCTCTCACACCGCCTGGATAGAGGAGAACAAATTCATTTCTCTCAAACAATTTGTACATATTGATCGGACCGACTGGAACCGCGCCGTATATAGAAACAAAATCAAATAGAGACAACTCCTGGCGTAGTGTCTCATAATTTCCAGCAAAAAATACATGGTGGGCCCCTGTTCGGATAACTGTTTTTTTCTCCCTCAAGAACCCTTCAATCAGTGCAGCCCACTCTATGGCCAGGAGTTGGTGATATCCCACAAACAAGACAGGACCTTTGTCAGGAACACCGGCAAGGCCATGGACAATTTCCCCATTTTTCATTGTAGAGAGCATGGCTGGGCTCAGTAACTGATGAAACAGTCTGCAAGAGTTTGAGTCGTACAAATGAGTCTAGTCATCTCTACATGATATCATGTGAAAAGTTGAATCGACCTTATATGCTAAATACATACTTGAAATCTTCACCAAATGTTCTGTTGAATTCACTTAATGTGGGTGACAGGAAATCGTTCACACAGTCCCATTGTCTACCACGGCGGTACATTTTTACTCCTTTTATGACAGTTAGAAGGTTGAAGCCATCCTCCTGTCGAAGTGCCACGAGATTCAGAAATATTCTATTAGACAATATCAAAGTTAAACTTAGTGTATACTACTCAACCAAGTAAGTGAAAACATGGAAATGTTGGGAACTAATTGAAGAGAAAAATATTGAGCATGATAGTTTGTACCATGAGTAGTCTGTCACCCCGGTTCCTAAAGTACCGAACTTTGCAGTTTTTCAGCGACTTAAACAGTCGGTCTGCTTCTCTACTAGGTGGCAGATTCCCACTCCCACTAAATCCAAATACATTTATGGCATGAGATTAAACTTTTAAAGATTATGCCTCACCTGAGCTACAGATTTTTGGAATTGTTAAACAGGGATACCTTGCAAGAAGTAGAACTTCTCCTTGTACCATGTGAAGTTGTGACTTGGTATAGTCTGCACCTGACTTGAGAAGATCAAGTCTCCACATGAGAACACCCATTTGTATTATATCTTCTAGTTCCTGAGAAATAATAAGCATCAATTCTGACAGGACAATATTACTATCTACGGGTGTTTTTTTACAACAATAATCTACTTCTGCTTAGTAAGTTTTTCTTGTGAGAACATTAGAAAGGATAATAATGGATGACCATCTAGGTGTTCTTAAGTGATAAATAATGTTGTTAAAAGCTAGAAAATGTCTCTCCGAATAAATAAAATTTGAATTTCCACAAATTTCAATTCTTATTTGTGCATGTCTAATGGAAAGATTAAAATATTCTAAAAGAAATGATAACTGATAACTTACGGAAACTAAAGGTAGCATTGAAGTGAGTTTGTCTGAAAATTCTTGTAGAGTCTCTTGTGGAGAAAAACTATTCTCAAGGCTAACCATAGCCATATTAAGAGGGTTACCTATGTTGCAACATGAAAAAATAGTCTGAGGAGCACAGATACATAATTAAGAGAAATTCTTAGATTCACCGTCGAAAAACAATATAATAAGAATTGAAGTGGCTCATATGTCAATGAATAACCATTTCTGCCTAAAGATATAGTAACTGATTTGTTCCAGTACCATTATGATTCATATACGTAGCTCATATTCTTGATATTTATTGTATATCATATGCTTAGTTTAAAGATTAGCTGGTTATGCAAGTGCTCTAACGCTGCAATATACAATACTCCCTCCGTCTCATAATGTAGGACGTTTTTTGACATTAGTGTAGTGTCAAAAAATGTGTTAGATTATGGGACGGAAGGAGTAGTTGGGAAAAGATCAGCAGAACAAGCATAACTAGCGTTGAGCCAGTTTATATTTATTGTGTTCTCACAGAAAGAAACCTGCAATTGGTCTTTGCAATAGTTTATTCCCTAACAAATCCAAAATAAAAAACAATAATTAAAACTTGAATTATATATTATCTTGAAATAAACCACTTTCAATGAAAAATATACTATGTCAACATCTTTATGGTATACCGGATTATTTTGAATATATATATACATATATATATATATATATATATATATATATATCTGGGCTATTCTGTTACGCGTAACAGAATATTATTCTGTTACCCTTTTTGAACTGACGTGGTTCGCAGTTTGGACTGACGTGTTTTTTAACAAGAACTGATCTTCCTGCGTGCACGACGGACTGAAACAGGGGATGCAACATGGAGCTTCCGGTCGTTCCCCGGCGCGATGCTGCGGGCCATTCGTTGCTAGAGGAGACGTGTAAGGGGTTCCGCACGTCCGCGCGCTCAGCTGGATGAGTTTTGCGATCTGTAGTCACCGGAGGTGACGGCGTGTGCATTTTTGGCGGCGGACGTGATTTTGGGCGTCAGTGTTTACTGTGGTGTTCGTGGGCCTCAATTTACATCGTGTTTGTCGTTTTTGATGTGAGAATTATCGGTATGTTATAGTTTTTTTGAGATTTTTTTCATCTGTAATTTATGATTACAGGTTTTTGTGTTCTTGGTCGTTTTCCACGCTCGCCATGGAAATCTGTTCTTCTTTTTCTGTTGTTTTTACTTTCGAATTGGTATTGCAGGGAGAGATATAAGGACTGTATGAAAAGATTTGCGTTGTCAATTTTGCTTTTTTGAGTTGTTTCTACCCCGGATTCCCATGTTGTTTTGTCGTTGGCAGAGGTTGTGTATGGCGGCTGACTTTAAGCTGTGATTTTTGGGTAATTTGGTCAAACTGTGTAATTAAGTTGCGTGTTTTTCAGTGTTGTTTTGAATTGATGCCCGTATGTGTAGTTGGACTGCTGCCATGTCAAAGTTTTGTTACTGTGTGTTGACATGGGAGCCGCACCGATGGCTCTGCACTTTGATTATAAACCCCGAGCCCTCTGTCAGTTTCATTCTACGAGCTGCAACCAAAGAAAAGGGAGATGGATCCTGAGCTGGGAGAGGTTACAGAGGAGGAGGGGGACGCCATAGATGTTAGGGCTGCAGTAGCGGAGCAAAGGAGGAGGAGGCGCAGGCGCAGGCAGATGGCGCGACGTGCTGCCGAGAAGGAACTAGAGGCAGAGTTCAACAGACGACTTGCGCATGAGGTGATGGATACTTGCAACTCCAATGAATTGGAACTTCTTTTCCCAGAGGGCAGGACAAGGAACCATATTCAGATCATTAGTTGGGCTAGGGCGAGAGCAGCCACGGCTCCACATCCATCCACCAGGGCAAAATGGCGTCATTTCTTTGATCGTTATGACTGAAGTAGTGAATATTATGTTTTTAAGATTTTTGTTGTGAGGGAGCAGATGTTCGAATGACTAAATGAATTCAACTTTGTTTTTTGTCTCTGAATGTGTTGTTTTGTCTGTATATGTTCGACATGTGCACCTTTGAACTGCTTGGTTTTCTGAAGTTGAACTGATCTGCGGTCAAATGTTGGATGGCTTGTGTAATAACTATTTCCTACCAGCTGGCTGCCCATCTGCCTATTTATTATTTTATAATCTGCTAGTGTCCCTGACTATAAACGTTATCCATCTATGTATGGTGTGTGGCCAAGTCTTCCCCCTCCCTTTTATTCATTCTTCCAGAATCAGATCTAGGTTCCTCTCTCTTCTCTTCGTTGCCTTTTTCTCTGTTCCTGTGTGTTCGATGGAGGATTGTTCATGCGGATGCCTGGTAAAGATGGCGCGCATAGCTGACGGCTGTGTGTACGAGTCTGGTTTGGAGCTCACTCAGGCTCAGCGGCGTGGGCAACTTTCTTGCTTGCTGTACGGCAACCATGGGTTTCGTACACCCTATGTTTGTCGCCTGACGGATGGTGACTTGAAGGAATCATGGGTATGTGTTTCTATTCGTTTTGTTTTCTACTTTCTTGTTGGTTTCTGTTCGAAACCCATGGACTGGATCTGCAGTTTTGTCTTATGAATAGCTTGTCTATATTTTTTTAATTTGGTTTTGTTGGATTTTTAACAGTAGGGATTTCTGTGTGTATTTGTTCATTACTTAACAGTATTTAAACCATTTTTTGTATAATACCTTATCTATTTATGAATAGATGTTTTTACTGTAGGTGTATTGATATGTATATTTTTCAGTTTAGTTAGTTCACATGTCTAGTTAGTTTTGTGTTATTGTTTTGGTTCAGATTTTTTTCATTTTAGTTTGTTATGCAAATCGTTCCTATATCTATGTAAAAATTCAGTTATGTCAGGTGTTCATTTTGTTTTGTACTCCCATGTCCATTTGCAGAAAATGTCACCCAGGATCAGGATTGTTGCTCCTAGTTCCGGTGTTCTAAAGATGGAGACTTCAGACAAGAATGGGTATCAGTTGATGGATGTTGCCTACCACATCGACTTTGATGGTTGCATCAACCTAAGTACTGGGTGGAAGGAGTTTGCGGCTGAGTCTGGATTTGAGGATGGTGATGGTTATGGCTGTGTTCTTGAGAGAAGACGACTCTCTGACGTTCAGAATTTATGTGCTGTAGGTTTAAATGTGGCAAATGACGCCGGCTTTGAGATTTGTGTATGGTTGATTATGTTGCAGTATTTTTTCTTTTAAAACATTTGCATGTGAGATGGTTGAATTGTATGGTTTTATCAGAATGGTATGGAACTAGTTATGTAATGTTTTTCCTATTGTTCTGCTCAATTATAAGTGTTTTATTTATACATTCTTTATACTAGTACTGGAACATTTTCTATAGTTGAACTGATGGGCATCCTTTATTTTGGCTGGTATATTTTTCATGTTCATAACTCGGAGATGGTGCTATACGCTGATGATTTTTTAGAACCCTATTTTTCTTATTGAGTTTGCTGAACTTACATTCTGTTAATGATAGTACTGCTCTATTTTAGGGTGTCAATTACCAATCAAATTTGTTTGTTGTATAATATTTTTTTCTTACTTTTTTTCATGAATTTTGGAGCATGTTTTTTTTCTTTTTTATAGATGAATAATGATAGTTTTGGTATTTTATAAAATAAAAAAAAATTAATCTTCGCTGCACAGTACTTTCTTTTTATTTTTGTACTTGAACCTTACGAATTGTAGTAGTTGAACTTTTTTGTAAATTCGTTTCTGAAATTTTAATTTTGAGTTTTATATATGTATATATATATATATATTTTTACTTCTTACCATTAAGATGTGCTTGAACTTTTTCACAATATTTTTGTTTATTAACTGATTTTTTCCTGTGATTTTTTTAAAATTTTATTTTCATTTTTTATTTTTTGTCGTGCGTGATCTACTGGATTTTTGTAATGGGGCGAAGTACTTTGTTGGGCCATCGGCCTGGGTTATTGTATTCGGCCCGGATAGCTTCTCTCGCGCGGCTGTGCAGCACGGCGTGCGCGTGAGCTATGTGTTTAGTCCCACCTTGCTAGTCGAGGGGGCTCTAGACTTGTTTATAAGCGCAGCCGACGCTCAGCAGTCGAACTCCTCTGAACACTTACCTGAGCGCTTATACACGGCGCTCGCTCTCTCTCTCTTGACCTGTGGGCCCTGTACGGCAGGCCCTGCCGGTATGCGGATTACTAGGGATTCGCCCACGGGCTCGAGTTCAAGTATCTAGCATTTGTCAGGGCCTGCGCCTGTCCTTGGGCGGTCAATTTTTTTATTTTTTTTGGATCTAGTACTTGACTACACCAGTAACTTGGACTGGTACTTTTTTGTCCTTGTGCTGTCAATTTTTTATTCTTTTTTTTGTTTGTTTGAATATAGTACTGTGGCATGACTTGCTCCCGCACCGAACCGTACCGAGGGGCATAGTTGTACTGACACATCTTCCTTGTATGGACTTTGCCCCATTATCTATCTTAGGGGGTGTGGGTGCGTGGGTTTAGGGTAGGGGGAAACAGAATAACCGCACTGCGTCTGTCAAACAAGCGCACTGGTTGATTTTAGCCGTTTGTATTCACCATCTATATTAATTCTTTTTATTTGTATTTGATTTTTGGTATTATCTATTATAACTGGCTAGAGATAGTGGGCTTCGCCACAGTTGTGGGCTTTAGGCGTCCGTTTTCTCCCAGTCATCTTTTAACCCTCCCACTCACCTTTTAACCTCCTATCTTCCCCGTTCCGCTCCTCTCCCGTCCCCAAATCGATTCCGTCTTTGTTCCCCTCTTCTTCTCTTCTCGGAGCGGGAGTTGTTTCTCCTATTTCGCCGCGGAAGCATCGACCGGAGGGTTCAACCCTAGGGGTGGAGGTCCGGGTGCTCTTTTTTGTTCTTTTTGCTCTGCCATTGACTTTGCTTGCGTCTTCTTATGTTCAGATTTTCTCTCTATTTCTAATCTCTTGCTCTCTTTGCTGTCCCAGGCTGCACTCGCTAGGGTTCCTTTGCTGTTGAACGAGCGTTTGGCGGCAGTGATACTGGATTGCGTGGCGGATTTTGTGTTTGCTGGTAAGAGTTTTGCTT